AGCGCGGCTCTGGCGCGCGCTCCCCGCGGGGTGGCCCGGAGCGGGGGCGCAGCGGGTCGTGGGTCCGGGAGCCCCGAGACACCTCCGGGACCTCGGTGCCACCCTGCCTGCCGAGCTGGTCCTGGGACCCGGCTGTTCCTGCGGTGGGGGGCGCCGTGGGAGGGAGAGAGGGGCGCTTCCCGGCCCGAGCGCGGCGCCCGCCGAGTGAGATCACCGCGGTTTATTTAAGGAGCCAGCCCTCGTCTTTGATAAACTATCGCGCCTCGGCCCTGGTTTATAGCTTCTGTGTGGGGGAGAGGAGGATTATTTATGGCCCCCCTAACTGGGTGTGATATCAGCCATGGCTATTATCGAGGCTAGTTCATCACCATAAAATAAGAAGTGTTCCTCGGGTCAAGGGTCTGTGCGGTCTCTCCGGTGGGTTCAGAGAGACGGCGGGGCGGGGGGGAGGGAGATATACGGCCGCTGAGTATCTAAAGATAAATGGAAAGATGTGTGTTTGTGGGCATAATTTAAAGAATTTAAAGAATAAATATTCGGTGTTTAAGCTTCTACAATGGACACTGCCGAGAAGCACGTGTGTTCTCTATGTATGCGCTCCCATGCTTACACATGCATGTTTACATTCTTACCAAGCAAACGTATGTAAACACACGTTTCCCTCTGCCCCACAGCGGGAAAGGTTAACCAGGTAGACGAGAGAAAATGCAACCCTGGGCTGGGCGTGGGGGGTGGGGGGGAGCAGCCTTCCTTTGCATCAAAGATCTTTCTTTACCCTTTTCAGGGGTGGGGAGTGCTGAATCACACAACCCCCTCTTCCATTAAGACAGCCTTTGTATTGTTTTTTGGTATTTGTGGTTGAAGCGCACGGGGCTGAGTCATCTTAATAACATAGCCGCGGATGCAAATATATGGAAATGGAGCACCGCACAGATTTTGTGTGGAGCCCAGCTCTGGCAGGGTGGCCATTCCCAGTTGGTTTTTTAGTGGCGCAGCTACATGCACATATATTATAGTAATTACTTTCTGGGTACCCTCTGTAAGATGGCAGAAATATGCTCCGCATCGCCCCACGTTATGTGTGAAGCATAAAGCCATATTGTAAGATAATCAAAGGCTTCTGAGAAAGGTTTGTGCTGATTAATAAAGTGTTTATGGTACTTTGTTTTGGGGGAGATGGTGATAGATATTTTAGAGCCACCCAAATGGAATAGAAAATATCACATTGTTATGGGAGGTCCTTCATCAGCTGGAGAGAGATTGCTGGGGAGTTTCATGCTGGCTAAAAGCCGGAATCAGATGGGAAACAGAAAGAGAGAAGGTGGGAGGGGGAGGTTTAGGATTTTGAAAGAGGAGAAGCCCGGAACTGGGAGAATTTCAGTAGTGAGTATGGATTGCTGGGGATCTAACATTAACTTGTGGTTGTTTATTTTACATATAATAGAATAGCTAAATGATGGAGTGTATTAGTTCTTTAATAATTTATAGAAATACTTTGATGTTGCAGTAATTACATTAAAGGTCACATATCAAAGGTAATTTGGTTGAGCAGCTGTGATGGTTTCTCAGAAGCAATCAATATCACTGTCCGTGGTGCTGATTTCACCAAGGGGCCTGCCAGATTAAAGAAGGCTTATTACCAGGCAGAAAGGCCCAGGGGAAATCAGGAGCACATTGGAGCGACGCGCCAGCCCCCCTTCTACGATAATTAACACTGTTCCCCATAATCTGCGCTAATCCTTCATACTGGGAGATCCAATGGCATTTTTCTGAAATCACAAAGACACGTTGGGCAAGTTTGGGAGGAAGGAGAAAAAGAAACATGAATGTATGTTGGGAGAGGGGAGGGGTGAGGATGAGGCCAATAGCAGAACTGCACGCAGCCCAGAGTCCCCGTGTGCTGCCTGGAATACCAGCCTTTCTTCAAAGGCTTCTCAGGGCGATTCATGGCCTCAAAAGCCTCATCACACAAATTCTCAGGGCAAGCGCAGCCCGCAGGGGGCAGGGACAGGGAAAAAAGAATCGTAGCTCTAAGTTCCGAGGGCACATTGTCCCCGCACAAACTCACATGCAGACAAATGAAAAACAAAATGACCGAATAAAATTATGCTTTAAAGTGGAGTCATTATGATTCTGGAAAGCAAAACTGGAGTTATTATTGCTACTTGGTTCTTTCCTTTGAGATCAGAGAAAGTGTGCTGCTGGCAAATGCAAGAATAACACCAAGTGAAATGCTCTGGCCTGACCAAGTCATGCATGCTCCTGCCAGCCAAGGCCTTGCCTAGGGCTACCTACTTGGTGGTGGGGGTGGGGAGGAAGGGCAGAACCTCTTCTTGTCCGGGGTGCTCACATAGGTGCCACAGCAAGCACACTCTGTGTCTGACGAAGGAGAATGAAATTGAAAAAAGAACCTGGAAAACTGGTAACCTCAGCAATTTAGGCACTTTTCCAGACTTCAGAATCCATTAAAATCAATCCATTAAAATCAGCCTCCACTTTCTTACTGAGGAGAGAAAGAGGAGGAAAGATAGTACAGGCAACGTATTCTGTTTCCCAGCAACTTACAGAGCTAGCATCCTGTCGCCAGCAAGAAAAATCATCCCATGACTGTCATGCACATGATCATGCAAACACTACCACCACCAGCACGACCAAGACAGAACTGCAGGCATCCCTAACACAGGTCTTCATCCGGGGAGAAAAAGCAGGGAACTAATCTTTCTTTAGGGATAAGTGGACACTCAGGTGCCAGACCACGGTGGCTGTTCTCACAAATCGGAGGTCAGCTTCCCTGGGAGTCAGTCTAATTGAAGCAACTCCAGTGGCTGATGGAGTCATCCTGGACCAGCCTCACAAATGGATTATTATTTTTGACTTTGGCAAGATTTTAGTAGAATGACATTAGTAAACCATGAAGTTACATCAGGATCTTTTAGAGCACAGCCTTCTGCCAGAATCTAAGCAGGACAGTTCCACTTTTTTTAAACTCTATCTCTATTATGATCCCTCTTCCTCACAACCTCACTCTCTCCTGGCCTCCCGGCCCTCTGTAGCCCATTCCCTTCCATTCTCAATGCTTGTTCCACTATTCATAGGGTCGAGTCCACATGGGACACTTTCCCAATCCATCAGCAAGCATTTCCTGAGTGTGTACCAGGAACTGGCCTAGGAGGGTACCCTATAACACATAGAGACAAGAAAAACACATGTGCCCTCCCTCGTGGGGTTTCTCCTTGAGTTGTGCACAGAAGCCACACACACACATGCTTGCACACACATGTACATGCACACATAAATATAACCAACAATATAAGACAGCAGATGTTATAAAATGAGTAGTGTGGACAGTTACTCATTAATCACAGTTGACATTGCTAAGCACTTAAAACAGACTGGTATGATGCCAAGGACTGTACCCCTATTGCCTCCTTTTATCTTCACAATCACCCTATGAGGAAGACGTCATGGTTCTCCCCGACAGGTGAGGAGACCGAGATTTCCCCAAGGTTGCACAGTTCGTGAATAGCACTGGGTCTGCTGTGGCCACCTCTGTTAGCCCTGCCAGTTGCTTTAGGAGTTCAGAAGGGATTGAGGTGACTGTGGAGTATGGGAATTGCTAAAAGGTTTTCCTTGGGTCATGGGCATGTGGGGATAGAGAGATAGGAGCAAGACCAGCAAGTCAGATGAGGGCACTGAGAAGCAGCCCAGGGATGAGGCACACAGGGCAGGATGGGAGCCTGGAGCTGGCGAGATGCTTCGGGCAGCAGAAGCCTGCTCAGAGACCTACTTGGGCTTGAGTGTGCATGGGTAACCTCTTGACAGAAATGTCCCTTAAAATACAGCCCTGGTGCTTAATCCCAGCTCCTCCAGGCTTTGAGACTTTGCAAGAAATTGTCTTTCAGGAAGAATCCATTTGTCTCCAAAGTTGGGAACCCAAGGTCCCCAGGGGGAGGTTTCTGAGTACAGAAATCAGGCGATGTGACAAGCAGTGGCCAGCACTTCCCTCCTTTGGCAGCAGAGACGGCTCCCGGGCAGGGCTGGTGATAGGAGAGCTGGGTCCATCAGCAGGAGGCCTGGAGGCAGTGAGAGGGTGAGCTGCTGGGGAGGGAAGCTATGTCTGCTTGGTAAACATTAAAGTTCCAATTCACTAGTTAAAGATTGGCTTTTGTATCCTCACTCCAGCAACCCTAGAATACAAAGCAAACCAACACACTGCCCACCTCCTCCCCCGCTCAGCCCTTGTAGATAAGCACTGTCCCTCCATGGCCACTCCCAGCCCCGACTGCTGCCTGCAACTCCAGACTGGTCATTTCCATGGAAATTCAGCATGACCTTCTTTGAGTTTATCAGGAAAGATGTTGAAATGGAAGATTAAAAAAAAAAAAGTTCAGTTGAATTCCTAGCCCTGCTGTCTCAGGGTATCTCTTTTGTCGTTCTGATAGCCTTTCCCTTTCCTTGTTCTTAATCCCATTTCCTCTTTTTTTTCCCCCTCATTTTCTGCCACTGTTCTCTTCCTTCTATATAATTTCCTCTTTCTTCCCCCACACCTCACTCATTTTTACCCCATTTTTCTTTTATCTTTCCCGTGGTCTCTCCCTTTGGTTTGTTTGTGTTTATTTTTGTTTTGAGCCAAGGTCTTACCATGTAGTCCATGTTGGCCTTGAACTTGCTATATAGCTCCAGGTGGCCTTGAACTCCAGACCTTCTTCCTTAGCCTTCTTAGGGCTGCAATGGTAGGTGTGT